GTCCTCTGCTGGACTTGCTACCCCAGCGACCTGATCCCGGATAAGCGGATGAAGATGAGAGATGATCATTGACATCATGACTTCATTCAAAGTGGACAGAAACAAACTAAAAGTGACCAAAACCATCTTTGTTAGTCTTATCATTGTTCCAGCCATCACCTACTCTGCTTGGTGGAAATAAATCCTTAATTCACTGACGTAGATGATAAAAACAGCAGTTTCAGTCACTTTACTTCACTTTACACGGAGCAGACAGGCTATATAAACAAACCACAGAGTGATAGCAACACAAGAAGAGGTGGGACACCATGACTCCACTATATCTTTATATAACTAATACGTGTTTGCTGCTATATTAATGTTTTAAATCTCATATATGTAACCTTTATTTTGAAAAGTAATTAACACTAACAGTTGTTACAAGGGTCATTAAGACCAAATACAGAAGTAAAACATGGAGCAGCAACATGTGTGACATCAGCCATAGGTCTCTGACAGAAAGTTTTGTTTGTTGCTATCTTTGTTAGTTGCAGAAGCCTTTACTGCATGAGATGGAAAAGGAGTGTATTATGTGTACTATGCAGTGTACTGTTAAAATGTTTTTCTATGCAGACGATGCTTAGTTCCCATACCAAATAGGATATATAATGCCAACATTGTCCAGGATTTTCCCTGTAATTCTCCTCCAAATTGGACATGCCTGAAATACCTTTCAAAGGGAGGCATCCAAGAGGCATCCATCCCAGCCGCTTACTTTATTGGCCGCGCTTTGGGATTCTGTTAATGAAAATCACAAGAACAATTAGTGACACTTGTCAGAGAACATCTCTGACTCACTGCCTTTTCTGGATAAAACAATACCCAGGTTTAAAGAAAGAAAGAAAGGGAGTTAGGGAAGCTAATGCTACGCTTCATGGATCATATTCCATCATGTCTTTGAGCCTTTCCATCTAAATTTCTCTGGTATGTGTTGCCTGAATTCTTTCGCCCTTCAATTCACCGCAGACATCAGGCACTGTGCAAAAAGATTCCTTCAGGCGAGTCGCAGCACGAGCAAACACACACACACACACACACACACATACACACTCACTCACACATGTATACACACAGATGCACCGTCTGGAACTATCGGGCATATCACAGGAAACAGGCCGATTAAGTAGCCTCAGAGAGAGAGAGAGAGAGAGAGAGAGACAAACCCATGTGACTAAATTCCCACAGCCACCATAACATACGCATACACCGAAATCCATGTTTACCCGTGCAAAATACACATGTTAAACTTGTTTACTGAAATATTCCTTCAAATGTACAAAGGTTTTTTTAATTTTATTCAGAAGAAAATTTTTGAAGTTATTTGATTTTTCTTTCTCTTTCTGTGGGTGCATACACACACACATATACACACACACACACACACACACACACACACATACATACAGACAAACACATGTAGACCCTCCTTTTAGGACTGGGGGTTGAGGGGCTCTCATTAGCCCTGTGGCTCTGAACCAAGGAGGATTAATGTCACAGTGGCTTTTCATGATCTGCACAGAGGCTGGTGTGTGTGTGTGTGTGTGATTGTGTGTTAGTGTGTGTCCTTCGGTTGGGGTTTAGTGGGCTACCTGATTGCAAACACAATCTGATTGCCCCCCAGAAGTGTTGGAAAGCTGCTTTGAGAGTCTAGTTGTTGGAATTCCTTTACATCGAATTAGCTTGAATTATTTACTTACTACTATGACAAATATACTGTAGCTTTGTTCATTCATGTTACTAAGAATTTTAATTAATTGTACAATGAGAATTATATTGACAACAGAACAGCAAAAACAAATTATTAGTGCAATAAATCTGATTGGCTTTTTCTTTGATATGCTGAGGGAATGTCTGCCTGCTGCCTCTGAAAAGAGCAAAAAAGCATTAAACTTCTAATTCCATGACTCATTTCCATTAACAGTCCGAAAAGGCAAAAGTACACCTTCTGTGGACACATCATACACTGTAGGAAAACACTGTAAACTATCTTAACATAAAAACATACTATTGCTGCCTGAATGTGAGTTAACTCAACTAAAAACCAAACCAATAAGATCTAAACAGTGGATGGTGAAAATGTGGCTTCAAACTGGATAAAAAGTCAATGTATGGCAGCTTCTGGCAGACAATCACAAAGGCGAATGGTGAAAAGCAGCATTACCTGAATAAAATGCCAGATTGATTGACTGAATGATTTATCTGTTTCTGCCTTCCATTTGGTATCTTTCATTCAAACTGCAAAAAAGAGGGATCTCTGGAAAGTTTGAACCTTGAGACCATATATAATGTAAAAGTAGGAACGGAAGGTTGACAAAACGTGCAGGTTAAAGCTATAATATGTAACATTTCCACATTAAAGCTGCAGTAGGTAATTTTTATATACTTTTTTGGACATATTTGCTGAAACTTTCGCTATATTCTGAAAGTAGTACATGAGACAGATAATCTGTGAAAAAAAACAGGTTCCCCTGGCTTGTTCTAGTGCTTCTAATGACATTTGCAAGAATCCGCTGGGCGGAAGAAAACAACCAATCAGAGCAGAGTCTCATTCCCAGAGTCCCAAAGCCTCTGTATTTGACAACCGGGGAATGAGACTTAACAATAAAGCTTTCTTATCTCTGATTGGAGCCAGAGCTGTTTTTTTTTCGCAGATTCAGCAAATATGTCCAAAAAAAGTATATAGAAATAACTATTGCAGCTTTAATGTGGAAATGTTACATATTATAGCTTTAACCTGCTAGTTTTTTCAACCTTCTGTTCCTACTTTTACACTACTTCATATTCACACAACTTCCTCTGTGTTTCTTTAACTGTGTTAACTTTTTTTTTTTTTTTATCAGAAACAGCTCTGTAACACAGTAGGTATCATATAGATTTGTCCTGTTCTCGGCTCCAGGCAGATGGGACCCTGAACAGACAGATACTACTCGGCCTTTTGGCCAGAGGGGATCCAGCCAGTGTGGGGAGTAAAGAAAGCGAAGAAAAGAGAAATTCGATTGAGGATTTTTTCCAGGTGTTGCATGCGGCTCCGCCCACCAGCCGCCCGCCCCCCCGTCCCCCCCGGGTCTTCCAGGCTGCAGGCAGCCGATCAGTGGGAGGGGGGCTGGGCTACAGACAGCTTTCTCGGACTGTGAGGACGCGCACAACACCGAGAGGACAGCTCAGCCGGCTCCCAGCCTGCACTCATCAGTCCGGCTACTCCACTGTACGGAGCACAAGTTTTTTGCAGAGTTCACTTCTCTTCCTCTGACTCGGAGCGGCACCACGGAGCCTTCTGCACGCAGACAGGATGTCGGAACTTTCCGTCAATGACCACCTCGAAGGGATTTTATCCGATTTTGAAGGTATGTCGGCTGTAGTATTGAATGACTTTACTGCTGCCTGTTTTGTTGGCACGTAATAAAACCGAATGTGGGACCGCAGCTCCAGGCTGTTTAGAAGAAAGAGAACTCCTGTCTGCATTATACGGCTGAATACAGCAGTTTCTTTTTAAGCAGTTTTAACAGAAAATATACACTAAAATATACCATGTTAGGCAGCAAACTATGTATCACCTGCAATACAATCTGATTGATTGTTAAATTTCAGTCAATTAATACTTTAGTTTTTTTTTTATGTAAAAAGGCTATTATTACTCTTCTATGGCAGTAAACCGAGTAGGTTCCTCTGGATCCTATAGTGCTCCTAATGGCATTTACAAGAATCCACCGGGCATGGAAGAAAACAACCAATCAGAGCCGAGAAAGATAGTGGGTATCTGAGTCTCATTCTCAGGTCATCAAATACAGAGGCTTTGGGACTCTGTGAATTAGAATCAACAATCAACTTTCTTCTTTCTATCTTTCTCTGGTCTGATTGGTTGTTTCCGTTCAGGCCCAGTGGACCCACTGCAGCTTTATTCAGTACTAATCAATATAATTAATTAATTAATTGAAATTATTAGTTTGTGAGAGGGTTGCATTGGTATACAATACCATGCTATACCTGATATGAAAATTGACTTTAATTGCTTATGTACAGTAGGGATGGGGGGATATACAATATTATTGCATGTTACAACATCGTCCCATGCCTTATCTACAGTAACAGCGTGTTAACATAGAAATATTATTATAAAACCCTTCTGTTTTCATTGCTTTAAGTGTCATTGTAACTAATGATGATAGTAATAATTGTGAAATATTATTATACCATGAAACTGTGACATTATGTTGTGAAAATATCAACCCATTAGTTAGTGTATAGATCAACTAAAATAAGACAGCAGCTCATGTTTGGTGTGCCTGAGTATGACTTACAGTATAATTTTTGGAGTCCGGTGTGAAACAGCCTGGACAGGTAGAGAGGAGCACTAATAACACAGTGTAAGCAAAGCCTTAAAAAGCTTTCTGTGTGTGCACACTGGGGCTCCTGTGTGTGTGTGTGTGT